CTGCTTGCCGCAATGAAAGTTACCAAGGAGTTTGTGGAATTGATGATTTTTAAACCCCACCACTCTCCCTTTCTCTCTGCCTCTTTTCGTCTACTCACACAGACTTTCTTCATCTGGTCCAGTCTCTACAAAATACAGGTCATTGCAAATCCACACTGCAAAGCTCGGTTAGAAGCTTTCTGCAGAGCGCAAGGCTATTTTTTCTCCCCATCTTTCACCACAGAAAGGCGGACCCAGGAGCATTCCTCTCACATTATTGGACTAAGAGCTGACGCACTGTATATACACAAAAGGCACACGCATATGCGCACTTACTGGTGTCCCATTTCTCCTTTCTGACCTCCTTATTTCCATTCATCCCTTCTTCTGTGTCCATACACCTACCCAGCTTTCTTTACTGAGTGAAAAGGTGACATTGATGGGAATTTTTTAGTTTTTATCCATCACATCCCATTCAATCAGCTGTCAACATCTGTGATGTGGAGATATAAAGACAAAACTCTCTCAACGGCTGAGAGATATGCGATCTTGGATTCTGCTGTCCTGAAATTATAATATCACAATATCATTATCACCTGAACCAGATCACAGGTTAACAAAAGGCAGAATGACACCTAGCCTAGCCCATCCTAGTATTCTTGAGCAGCAGTGTTAACTAATAGACTGATACAGACATCTTCCTGATGAGCCCACAGGCAAATAGAAATACAGGCCTCTACATGTCTGACTTTTCTTGCAGTTGGCAACGAGCCCTTCACTATCTCTCGTGTAGCAGCAAGCTATCTCAACTCTTGTTTCTCAACATTTACAGGTCCATGTTTTAAAAATAATGTAGCATAATGAAAAATCTATGTCTTAGTCACCATGCAATTTCTGTGTATTCAGCAATGCATTCTTTCTACTATAGTCCACACTAAAAAAAAACTTCTGTTGAGATAATTAAAGTTTGTTCGCCACTTGAAAAAAACATGATAAGTTAATTGATGAAAAACACATTGTGTTTGCATCAAGATAGTTGAGCTAGCAGGTCTATCTGACCCAGTGAAGCTGTACTGCAGGATCATGGGACTGCAGGTGTCTGCGTCATTCCACAGGTAGCCTACATCATCTTAGCCCAGTTCACCACCTGCGTATAGAGACAACACATGCTGCTAAGGGACTCATTAAAAATCACTGTGCTGCCACAGCACACCATAGCTCATCCTGTTCTTCTGTCCTTATTCTGTCACACACAGTAACACAAGAACAGCCTAATATTGGACTCACATGAACGGGGTCATAACCTCAACATCTTCAGGTTTTAAATTAGTCAAATAGATGAAATAGGGCACTTTGCACCCATTCTTTGTGTGTTTTTAATCTTTTAAAATAGGAGATTTTACATGTACCAATTTGACCTATTTTACCTCACTCATGATTCTTCAAACAGTTGTGAGAAATGAATCATTTCCATGTAAGTGTAGAAAATCTTCAACACATTTAACCATGAAACCACATAAATTAAGATAGATGCTAGACAGAGTTGTTGGGGCAGAACCATTGCAACCTCCACAAAGTAGCTTTTGTTATCTACAATGCAACAACAGCACCCACACCTCTTAAGTCATCTGCTATATATAAAATGTGTATATAAAGCTAACCACAAGAGTGCTAAGATCATGAAATTTCACATGACATCAATGTAAAAATAAGCCAATGTCCTTTCATAACCATCAGGCCAACACCTCAACATTGTTGCCTTTAAAAAAACATTTTAAACATTTAGGTTAATTATTACTAATTAATAATTCATTAAAAACACAGAGATATTACAGTGAACAGGACACTGCCTTTAGAGATACAACCAACACGCCTGTGGAAATGCAAAACACATAAAGCTGAGCTGAAATAAGACTGATTAATAGTGTTATCTGTGGGGAAATTAATATTTAATAACACACAACGTGAGATGGCTGAAAATTAACACAATGAAGCTGAATATCAAAGCCTGGTCCGTGGAAACCCTTGAATCTCTCCTCTGAGAAATATTGGCCCAGCTATGATTAGGGCAATTATCTTTTCATCCGCAGTTTCACACAACTACATCCGCCAGGATGTGTAGACCAATTACAACTCAAGGCTGAGCTGGAGATGTAATTGGTCTTCCTTTCCCCTCCCCCTTCTTGTCCTCAACCACTGTCAGCTCTGCAGTGGGGCTTGCAGAGTACAAACCATTAGCAGGGGGCCATATGGCCCTTTTCTTTCAAACATGGAAGTGAGCCTTTCTGTGGACTGCCTGAGTGTTTAGGGAGGTATAGGATAAAATGGGCTGTATTGCAACATAATTTGAGGGGTTTTCTGTTTGCAATCTTTTGACGATATCAGGACAGGTCTGTTCAGTGGGGGAAAAAACAACACATTTTGCATAATATTACAACTCCAGTTCAGATGCTATTCCTACTAGTTTAGAGAGCCTTATGTGTTCATGTCTGAATAACATCTGTATTCACTGACATACCTTCACCTCCTTTAAAAATATATTTGTAAAAATATATTAGTCACTATAACTGAAACTGTGAGACAGGAAGCATTTTGATAAATAGAGATTTGACTCTTAAGCTTTCTCTGAAGGATTGGGATGTTAATTAGATTTTGAATATGACAGATGGGGACCTTGATCATATTCAATATGCTGATGCTTGATCCACGGCACAGTGTACTTGGCAGGCCCTACACAGCCAGGCTTACAGGTGCTGCACACACATACAACCACAACAGCTCTTTTGTCACTCAATTTACCCATTTCCACTGAGAAAGGTGGCGGTGGGGGTTTAAATATAAATTACTTTTACAGACATTGATTACATTACATACAGTGTTTCAACAGTATTACTCTATGATGCTCTATTATTAGCTCTATTGACATGTATTAAATTTCTGGTATAAATAATAAACACGCAAGGCCAAATATATTGTGTAAATTAAAATGCAATCTACATTCTGCTCAATGTCTTGAGTTTGGTCTTAAAAGACTTTATTTAAAAGCTCTCTGAATGTGCTCCTCTTTTAAATGAGATCTAATTTGCATTTTTATTTAATGCAGAACCTTTGTAATTCAATGCTGAACTGTGGTGTGTTTTTTTTAATCCACAAGTTGTCACTGTCACTGTTTTTTTATTGTTATTTGAATGACTATTTGTCAATGCTGTGGTAAAGAAATGTCTAGTTAATGCTAAGGTTATTATTAGTTCATTAGAAATTAATTCAAAACTGTTAAAAACTAACTAACTAGCTAACTAGTTAAATAACATATAAATAAAAACTAATTGAACTCAGTATTAAAAATTCAATTCAATTAAAAACAGTAACTTCCCCATAAAACAACAATGAAACACTATTCCAGCCCACTACAAGCTGATGCCCCACCCACTGCTGTTTTGTAGGGTTACCAGATAACAACACCAGATAACAACAGACAACACATTTGCTGTACATCCTTTAACCATTACCTAGGTAACATTCATAATGTCCCACTCTATAGTCTGACAGCTTACTGTAATATTCCTGAAGGCCTGGGTCACAACATGTGGCTGAGAGAGCCATGGAGCTGCCAGTGTGACAGGAGGAAGTGTTAATACATTATTGCAGCATGATGAAATAATTTTCTACTTGGGCCACTGGAAGAACACAACTGCAGTCAGACCAGAGTAAACGAGAGAAATGGAAAGAGGGAAAGAGAGAGAAAGAGAAACTTCCAAGTGAAGTGCATATGTGTGTAATTTTAATGTTCCTATGTATGATTACTTTTTTCCACCACCCAGACATTAGTCATGTAGTGTGCAGCTTGTGTGGTTGACTTTGTTAAGGTTTGGCCAGTGTGCTAATGTATGAAAGAAGCAGCTACAAAACATGACTGTAATTATTTCACATATAATTCTGAATACATTTGCCATGTTGTAATATTAATCAACACTGGAAAATATCCTTATAAATATCATGATATTGACTTCAAACCTAGTCCTAGTTCTAATTGTTGAACTCTAAATTTCTAAGGTGACAGTAGTTTTGCACAATAACAACCTAAACCAGGGGTGGGTAATATCAATAGTACTGCGCAATGACAGGAACACTAGGTAGAGGCACTCACTGCTGATATTACTCAGCCAGTCAAAAAAGTTCAGAAAGTTGTCAGTTATATGCAAAACAGCTGTCTAGTCTGTTGTCAAGGATAAATACTTTTAAAACATTTAAGCTATGTCATGTTATCAGGATAAAAGTTACAGACAATACCTATACCCTATCTTCCAGTTCTAAGTAGATATGTTTCTTCATTATTAACGTATTTTATTACTTCACCTTCACTGCTTCACATCACTGGCTGCACTCATCCATAAACTGAGCCCCATGGAGGGCTCATAATAACAGTTATGATACACTGGTAATTTGGATAAACTTAAGTTACCCCCTTCTAGACAAGGACTTTAGAGTCTGCTGCACCAAACTCAATGTTGTGGTGATCTTTCTGAAACCTAAGTGAGCCTTCTTGACCCCCGAACAAAAACCCACTGACATGTAAGTTAGCCACATTATGCTCCAGGCCTGGGGACACTGCACTGCAACAAGTCAGCCTACATTCTCAGCTCATTCACACACTGGATGCAACTATGCTACTGTGTGTCAGTGACCAAACAGGCGACAAGCTGTTATCACCTATTATCATTACAGTTAGACAGGGCGGCTGTGCAGGCTAAAATGGGGCATGAAACACTACTTGCAATAGAACAGTTAACGTTGATAGGGTTAAAATTAGGCGCAGATATTCACTGACTAGCTACTTAACCATAACTTCTTACAACAGCTCTGGCAATGTACTGTCTGATAGCTATAAAACTAAAACCCATATCAGTCGACAACAATTAACTAAATTATTGGCCAAATTTATCACACAGCCGTGTAAACTTCTGCTTTAAAGAACAGGCTCGTACAAGGCGAAGTGCTCAAGCAAATAGTATTTAACGTACCTTTCCCGGCTGATTTTCTCATTGTCTCGGTGTAATCCTTAACTGCGTTCCCCGCGATTCAACCAACTGGTGAACAAATAAATGATAATCAAGTCGAAACTTTTCGGTTCGTGGGTTTTCTTCTCCTTTGATGAAACCACGACTGACTTACATCAAGCAGGCTAACAACGGTGGAGCCCCAGACAGACAAAGCTTAGAGTTGAGTCAGTTTGAAGGTTTCAAACCGGGGCGGAAAGAAAATAAAACGAACCGACAAAAAAAACCGAAGCCTACTTATACGCTTGTATTAAATAAAGAAGAGCAGTCTCTGAGATAAAACAGGCTCAAAAGTCCAATCTTTCCTGACAGACTGTGGGTTTCAGACCGGCTAACCAGCTAGCCTGTCGCTACTTCCTTTCTCTGCCTAAATAACAGCAGCAGTGTGAGCAGTGAAAAAAAAAAAGTTGAGGAAAAAGGCAAGAGCCAGATTCTATACAATGAAGGCACCCTGTTGCTTTGGGGCAATTGTTAAAGAACAGCGCCCTCTGCAGGATTTGCGTGGTGGTTACTACAGGTTGGCCCCAAGGACCTTGATATATTACATTAGATCATCTGGAAGAGGAGGCATACCAACTCAGGGGATGTACACAGATTTGATTTCTTTAAGTTGAAAAATGACATTACAGCAGACACAAATAACAGCTGGGTGCCCTTTTAGATTAGTTCATGTATTCTGCCACGAGCAGTTAGCTTCGGTTGAACATTCTGTTGCTAGTACCAACAACCACTGGCAGAATTCATGGCAGTTTAACTGACATTGTTAGAGCCACCATTTTGACCAAACAAATATTGACAGATATCTTTGATTTACTCCCATAAAGGTACCATATTATAGATCGCAGAATTATATGTACGTGCTCTTTTTATAATAGCGATTTTGTGAATGTTGCTTTATCACATCCTAATTTAGTTGTATCAGTTTGCTGCTAACTAATGCTAGTTGTCTGAGGCTAACATTTTAAGTAACTGTTAAATTAGCTATTGTTTGGCTCATTGTAAGGCCTATGTCTTTTTTTACTCGTTACTCTCACTCTATTGGACTCTGTGTATATTTACTAGATTAATTATTTTGTACTCTCTGGGGACCTAATGTTGATTTTTCACCTGTGATATTTGTTTCTTGCTGACATGGGACCATTTAAAGTTTAAGGTAACCCACCCTTTTGTAAATCCAGTTTCTTTGTACTGTACTAACATAATTCATATTTTAAATGCCTGTAGTCTAACTATTGTTTATGGCATATTTAGTGGTATTTAATTATTTTCTGATTTGACTATCATTAAATTTGTTCTGTTTTGTCCAAGTTTTTCCAATTTCACCGTTGCTGTCAGTATTTTTAACTGTCTTCCACTTTTATTGTAAGTGAGTTAAGCAAACTGCTTAACTATGATTCTTTTAAGTGTTATAGACCTCAATAAGTCAGTGTGAATTTTGGTATAAATTCATTTTATATAAAGAAACTGAGATTTCAAAAAGCCTTGAGTGTGAATTGCAAAATCAATGATCCAACCTTTACAAAGGTGAAGAATTCTTAACAGAATTATTCCAATTTATGTTTTATTAAGCCATACTTGCCATCCACTGAAATAATTACAATTCTCTAAAGTTGAAAACAATACTGTCACATTTCATGATTTCTGTTAGCTTTTTAGCATCTTCCAGCAGACTCACTTTGATGCTGAATGCGATCCTCTTGACAGGAAAATGGCTGTAATACTGCTTGGTGGCCACCAGATGTTGACTGCTCACTGCCAAGCAGGTCAGTCATTGTTACTTCATAGACTGTAAGTTTAGACTCGTACAACCCCCAAATATCAAACCAAATAGGTTGGTTTATAAATTGCACCAATTGGCCAGATGGTGTCATTGTATATTCATATATCATATATTGTTACCAGTAAACTCAACCATGATATTTGAATCACCATTTTTCCATTCAGGTCGCATCAAGTCAGTTTTTCAACAAATTGCACATAATTGCAATCACATTTTTACACAGACCATTTTAACTGTCTTATTTATCCCTTTACTACGCAGTTCTGATATTAGTTTGTTGCCTACAACACACAATAGGAGTTGAAAGATCCACAACAGGAAGGGTGGTGTCCCCAAATGTTTAAAGTTCAACTAATCAATGTTTTTATATTAACAATGAATCAAGTGGCTGTGTGTATTGTGAAAGGGCTGATGGTGCAGTGGATGCAAGTGAGAAATTTGTTTGCAAATTCAAACCATAACAGCTTATCAGTTATTGGAAGTTTTGGTTGCAATGAAAACCTGTAGACTGTTGTTTCTCCATGAAACATGTGCTTGGACCTAAGCAGCAACTATCAAAGCTGTACTCGAAGGCAGATATGAATCTCGCAGATTTCTTGATTGCTTTATGCATAATTTTCATAAGTCTGCAACGCTGCAGACATATGGATGTATTGTTTGACATATTACTATACCCACAATTTATAGTATTTTTGTGTTAAAAATAGGGAAGTCTGAAAATAAACAAAGTGCTGGAAAGAATACAGTTCCACATACACACAGTGGCAACATTTTGTCTAGTTCTTTACTCTGTGAAAGCAAGATCATCTAAATTTTTCATCTGATCAATCAAACATTGCTGAATATATATTGTAATATGATTCTATTAAAAACAACCACCGAAGCTACTAGTTACGCAGCCACCTAGTTTTATTAAATTATACATCAATAAACTTTCTGAGCCCCCACACCCCTCTGCATTCATACATTTCACGGGGGGGGGGGTTTGAGTGGAGTTTGCATGATGGCATATGTTCCCTCCCTCTGTCCAAAGACATGCAGTGCAGCTAAATTGCCTGTATGTTGGGTGACCTGTCTTCATGCTCTCTCACCGAGAGCACACCGGTATAGGCTAAGTCAATATAAAAGACAATGGTGACAGTAACTTGGTGGATGTGACTGGACTGACTTGAGGGCACAAGCACAATATGGTTCATAGCCCCTACAGCAAAAGCATACAAGGCCTGCTTATCACTTTAAACACCAACACACACACACGCACACGACACACACACACACACACACACACACACACACACACAGACATTTGTGGCTTAGAGTACGTATTTTGTGGTTACAATTTCATTTGAAGTTATATTTTCAGTGTAAGGGCGTTTTCAACAGTCATGGGTGTTGTTAACACCTCCTTGCAAGAGCTTGTTTTTCTTTTTTATTGTATTTGTCTTTTTCCCCATTTCATTTACAAAAGGCGTCACTAGATTTAGATAAATATCATACCTGTATCAAAATGTTTACTATGTATATGATTTATTGATGCATGAATGCTTTTTTATTTCAAGACTGAAAAGGAGAAGTTGTGTTAGAATTAGCTACTCTGTCTTCATGGGGGAGGCACTTGAATGTTATGCCCTCAGTACAGCCACACACAATGTAGGTCAAGTGTCTCAGTTTTATCGGCTATGCAATGTTTCTGTAAATTTACATGCAAAGCCTTGTCTTGCTCTTGAACGGAGTCACCATGCAAACTGGAAAACTGTTGAGTAAAACCACAGAAATATATTTGTGATGGACATATATGGATGATGATAGATAATACCCACATGCAATTTTTCTTATTACTACAATAATATTTGCCATGAGCATGAAAAGCATTATTTTCTTATGAAAACATTTGGGGCACTGGCATGATTACAGTTATATTTTCTCAAAGGTTTCATTTGACCTTTTTCAGACCACACTAGCATACTTTTGAAGTGAAATGATAATTATAGTGCAGTGATACAATTAGAGCCTACTTTGCTGAAAGCTTGAAATATATAATCATATCTCTTTGAAAACTGTACTCTGAAGGGCCAATGTGTTCAGCCACGAGCTCTGGTTTTGCTCATATTTGAAAAGTGGTTTCTTGATTTTGGGGTCTGCGCTGGTACTCTGTATATTATGTGTTTATGGTTGACTTGAAAGTGGTTACGGGCTCAGTCACACTGCCTATATGGCATGTGGTTAGGGTCTGCTGGCACATGGTTGGAGGTTTGTTGAAGTCAAGGTTGCCACATATGGTGACTATAAGAGCACGGAGTGGATAGTGTAACTGTGTCCTCTCTATACCTAAACCCACAACCACAGCTGTGTGATGAGGCGTATGAAACCTGTATCTGTAGGGAGGGGTTGCCTTCCATCTCATTGGGAGTTCCTGTTTTTCTGTTGTAGTCTGCGAAATATTGAGAAAAAAATAAATTGTAATTTGAAGCTTTTGTAATAAGGTGGCATGGTCTCGTAAGTCCAAGTGAAAATTCTTGCCACATATCCTTCAAAATATTGAGTCACGTTGCATTTACAACTGGCTTAGTGTGCCACATGTCTTGAAAGAGCCTTTCCCGTATAAGTTATCATAGGGCAACTTGAGCAATACCATTTAATGTGCAGTAGTAGTACAATTTGCATGGAGTTCCTGGAAATGTACCAGAAAAATTATGAAAAATTTTGTTTTGATGTTTCAATTAGAATAAGAAGAGATGTTCTCATATAACTAGCAAATAATCATCAAACAACATTTGACGTCTTCGACTGTGAAATTCTAAAATTGTAGACAACTGTGAAATTGTCACAGTTGTTTTTTCTTCTTTACAAGGTGATGGAACAAATGTGATGGCAATCTTCTATGTTGCACATCACATGTGTGTGATGTGTGTGTGTGTGTGTGTGTGTGTGTGTGTGTGTGTGTGTGTATGTGTTTATGTGAGTGTTTGGGTGTGGTGTGACTACCTAACCCTTACTTCCCTATCTAAAATGTGCAGTAAAATCTGTTGTCAGTCATCTCCTCACATGCTCAGCATCACCATCAGCAGCCAGAGTAAGTACTCTCCAAAGAACTGCATTCACTTCACTCTACAGCTCAGATAAAAACTACATTTTTTAAAGAACATAAAATTAGAATAAAATGTATTCTAATTTGAAATTTAGAAATTTTACACAGATTTCAGAATTTCCACTTAATTCCTGTGTTACGGCATGCACTGCTCAATGTGCAAACATGAATGTGTTTTTTAACCTTTACATCAGTTTTCATTAAATTTTACTTTATATACTTTAATTTACTTTATAAACCTTGTAAAAAAAACCTTTATGTTTCTCAAGTCTGTTTTGATCTGAATTGATTTTGATTGATTTCACTGAAGAGAATTAACTTTTGCTATTTTGCAATTATTTATCATAATGCAGTTGATATCGCTGCCTAGGAATTTTAAGAAAGAAGTTTCCAGCTTTCTTATCATATGGATATTTCTATCATGTGGTGTTTTAAATGCCCTTGGCAGCTGCTCACTCA